CTGAGCCCACGGGTTCGAGACCCGCCTGGGTAGCGAGACCTCATCTCTACAATAAATCAAAAAATCGGCCGGGCATGGTAGCGCATGCCTGTAGTTCCGGCTACTCGGAAGGCTGAGGCGTAAGGACCGGAGCCCAGCAGGTCGAGGCTGCGGTGGCTGGGAGCGGCCACTGCACTCCAGTCTGGGCGACAGTGAGACTCCAACTCAAAAAAAGAATCAAGGTCTCACCAAGTTGCCCAGGCACCTCAACTTGGCCTCCCAAAGTGCTGGGATTACAAGTGTGAGCCATTGGGCCTGGCAAAGCATTTGGAGGTGTCCAGATGTGGGTGGGCAGGTAGAGAGGTACACTAGTATAAAATGCTAGTTCTCAATTTGTCTTTTAGGGTCTCTGGGATTGTGCAACCTTGAACTCTTGGACTCAAGTGATCTTCACACCTTAGGTCCCATCTCCCCCCAGTAGCTGGGGCTACAGATGCCACCGTGGCTAGCTCTCCCACGGGTGTGCTCTTGTGTTGGGTGAACAGGGCCTGCTTGCTTCCTGTTGGGTTTTCACTGGAGCTCAATGTAGGTGAGCCAACAAGTGAGTAACAATGCCCAAGAGATCTAGTCCCTGCCCTTTTTGGAGTGTCACCCATACCTTCACTGGTCCCTTTTCCCTAGTTCAGGGCCCTGGAGGCAGCTTTCCAAAGCTCAATCTAAGGTCCTGTTGGCTCTGGCCCAGCCTCCTACCTCAGGGCCTTGGCACAAGACAGCCAATTCAATTTGGTGGGCAGTTCAGACCACCCTGCCGAGGAACTTTTTTTCCCCCTCATCCCTTCGGTTGTCTGGAAAGCCAGCTAATCCTTCAAGGGAGCCGGGTGCCAGCCACTTCACTCTTCAGTGTCACGCCGGTGTCGGCCGTCCCGGATACAGACGAAACTCAGGGCAACGCTGGGCTGCACCCAGAGCCATACGTTCAAGGAAAGACGGCAACCGGGAGGAGGGTCGGAAGGTCTCCCGCCCG